AAACAAAACAAAAACAAAGAGCGAGAGGAAAGACATTTTAGAATTTTCCAAATGCTATCTACTTGCATGGATTCTGCATTATACTTTTTTTGTTTTCTACCATTGGAAATCTCTACTTGTTTAGCTTTTCATAATGCCTTCTCTCTCTTATCTATTTATTTTTTTTATAACAATTATTCTTCTTCTTATTTACGGATGAATGATATCCCAAGGAACAAGGGTTTAGAGGTTGGGGTTACCATCTGATGGTCCAGATCAAATCCCCATTCATACTGGATTTGCCAAACTAGTTTCATGGTGGTTCTACTTGGATATAACTGCATAAATTATCTGGCAGGCTCCAATATTTATATGCGCGCTCAAATGTACGATTTTGTTCTTGGTGTTATTTAACAATATATATTGTGACCTTTATTTTAATTCCGGCTTTTTTCTTTTAAGGAGAATATTATCATATCTCTCATTAGAGGTGTAGAACATTCAATTGCCTCCCTTGCGATTCAGTAGTCCTCTTCTTTGATAGCTCTTAGGCCAGTGAATTTCACTCCTTCAGTTCCTGCTTTCATTTCTATTTTTTTCGTAGAGTAAGGCCTCGTTTGGCAAGTGGTTGTTTTAGCCAAAAAGTAAAAAGTTACTAAAAAAATCAAAAAGCCAACAACCTATACCAAAAAGCCAAAGATTCCATTTTCTCTCTACATTTTGCACATCTTTTCGTAAAAAGTCAAAAAGTCATCCCAAACATATTAGTTTTTTTTACATCATATTTTAGTCAAAAAATCAAAAAGTTACTAAAAAAGTCTGTTCCCAAATGAGGCCTAATGCTATAAAAATTAAGACATCTTACAATTTTTTTCACTCACTGTTATGGCATCACATGTCATACTATTAAAGTGGTAGGTTAAAGATTTATTGGTTTGTATAGCACTTTTTTTCATGAATTTTGTGAAAACTGCAGTGTAACCTGTATCCAGTCAAATCTCCTCCCAATCTTCTTCTTTATCTGTTAACTTTGATAATTCATTGCCATGCTTTGAGCGTTGTTTTTGCAAGGAGAATAGAGGCTGTGAAGGATGAATTCATCTATGAAGTAACTTTCTCAACAACTCAAAACAAAACAAGCCTCTAAAAATTCTCTTTCTAAAAAACCTCCATCTAGGGCCACACCGCTGGCCAGTCGGCCGCCGCTTTTGGCCATGGCAGTTGGCTGGCCTATCTTTTCTTCTTGTGTACATGGTTTTTCTCCTAATAAACTTGAGCCCCTATTAGTTTTCCACTATCTCCTTTTCAGATCTAATCAGTAGATTTGCTTAGGATGTTGTTTTGGTTCTATCCTTTTTGTGTAGGATGCTCGTTTTCAAAGGCGTTCTTTGGGGTTTTTGGCCAGGTATTCCTTGGGTGGCTTTAGATCTATCATATCTGGCGGTTTGAAAGCTTGTTGGGTCTACACTCTGTGGGTTTTGGCGCTCATGGAAGCTTTGATGGGTGGTTTTGGTGGGTTTTTTTTTCTCGAATGGAAAAGTTTGGTGGAAGTGCTTCGGCCATGGTGTTCAGCTTCAGCCATGGGTTTCGGTTTAGGATGGGTGTGTTGAACGTGGGTGGGTTCATTCAGGAACTTCATTCGGGCACTTTTTTGCGAGCGGGAGTTTGAGGGGTGGAGGATCCAGAGTTGTTTAGGAGCTTCATTCGGGCGCTCCTATGCGAGTGGGAGTTTGAGGGGTGAATTTCGATCAAAAAGGGGACTGCTCAGCGTTGTTGGTGAGGATCAATCGAGGGAGTTGTTTGGGCGAGGAAAACCGTGGGAGAAGTTTAAGATGGAAAACTGGGTTTTGCAGGTTACAAGCGGGGTGACCTGCTGAAGAACCAAATGAGGAGGTTGCAGCAGCAATAGAAGAGGCACTAGCAGCAGGGTGTTCATGGAGGTTGAGTGTTCGGCGATTATGGTGGTTCTCAACAACAATGGAGCCTCAGTGTCCGGCGATGATGGAGGTTGAGTGTTCGTCAATGGGGGCAGGGTGTTTGGGACAGGCATGGGGCTCAAGAGTGTAACAGTGTTTGAGTCAGACGTGGGGTTTATCAATGCATCAGTGTAACTAGGACTGTGCAAAATATCGCCAAATTCGCTAAAACCGCACCAGTGGTAGGTTAAAGATTTATTGGTTTGTATAGCACTTTTTTTCATGAATTTTGTGAAAACTACAGTGTAACCTGTATCCAGTCAAATCTCCTCCCAATCTTCTTCTTTATCTGTTAACTTTGATAATTCGTTGCCATGCTTTGAGCGTTGTTTTTGCAAGGAGAATAGAGGCTGTGAAGGATGAATTCATCTATGAAGTAACTTTCTCAACAACTCAAAACAAAACAAGCCTCTAAAAATTCTCTTTCTAAAAAACCTCCATCTAGGGCCACACCGCTGGCCAGCCGGCCGCCGCTTTTGGCCATGGCAGTTGGCTAGCCTATCTTTTCTTCTTGTGTACATGGTTTTTCTCCTAATAAACTTGAGCCCCCATTAGTTTTCCACTATCTCCTTTTCAGATCTAATCTGTAGATTTGCTTAGGATGTTGTTTTGGTTCTATCATTTTTGTGTAGGATGCTCGTTTTCAAAGGCGTTGTTTGGGGTTTTTGGCCAGGTATTCCTTGGGTGGCTTTAAATCTATCATATCTGGCGGTTTGAAAGCTTGTTGGGTCTACACTCTATGGGTTTTGGCGCTCATGGAAGCTTTGATGGGTGGTATTGATGGGTTTTTTTTTCTCGAATGGAAAAGTTCGGTGGAAGTGCTTCGGCCATGGTGTTCAGCTTCAGCCATGGGTTTCGGTTTAGGATGGGTGTGTTGAACGTGGGTGGGTTCGTTCAGGAACTTCATTCGGGCACTTTTTTGCGAGCAGGAGTTTGAGGGGTGGAGGATCCAGAGTTGTTTAGGAGCTTCATTCGGGCGCTCCTGTGCGAGTGGGAGTTTAAGGGGTGAATTCCGATCAAAAAGGGGACTGCTCAGCATTGTTGGTGAGGATCAATCGAGGGAGTTGTTTGGGCGAGGAAAAGCGTGGGAGAAGTTTAAGATGGAAAACTGGGTTTTGCAGGTTACAAGCGTAGTGACCTGCTGAAGAACCAAATGAGGAGGTTGCAGCAGCAATAGAAGAGGCACTAGTAGCAGCGTGTTCATGGAGGTTGAGTGTCCGGCGATTATGGTGGTTCTCAACAACAATGGAGCCTCAGTGTCCGGCGATGATGAAGGTTGAGTGTTCGTCAATGGGGCAGGGTGTTTGGGACAGGCATGGGGCTCAAGAGTGTAACGGTGTTTGAGTCAGGCGTGGGGTTTATCAGTGTATCAGTGTTTTAGGTATGGGGCTTAATAGTTTGGTTTGTTTTTTTAATTGTTTTTTAAAATATAAAATCGTGAGGCTAAGAGGTTGGTTGTAAGAATCCGAGTAGTAGTAGTAGGAGAGTGAGTATTTACTCTTCGAATCTCTCTCAATGCGTTTTATTTCCTTGTACCTTTAAATTTCATATTTTTAATGAAATTTTTCTTTGCCGATCATAAAAAAGTAACTTTCTCATCTATGAAGCAACTCTGGCTAGACTTGATCACAGGAAGAATTATATTATGAGAAAAGCTACTGAGTGGATTAAAAAAAGATGCATAAAATATAGTTTTTTTTCATCACAAAAAATATAAATGCAATTTGAGCATGCTCAACTCGAGAGAGAGAGAATTAAACAAAATGCACAGTATATTTAAACTTTTTAAAATTGCTAAGTTTGTTTTTGTTTTTTGAACAACAATAAATAAATAAATAAAACAATAAAGAAAAAAAGAAAATTATTGATAAAATGATAATGTTGATAATTCTAAAAAGGCAACGAGTGGCAAGCGTGTTCAAATAATAGGTTTGAGAAAACTTCACCACAATCTTAACATGTTTTTCTATGTATTTCAATCATAATTATTTTTATATATTACAAAACAATTATAAATATATACTTAGAGAAAGATCTTCAAACAAATAAAAAGTTATGCTTAGTTTATAGATTTGTGCAGAGATTTAAAAAAGAAAAAAAAAAGATGAATAAAATATTATATACATATATATATATTTCTTTTTCGTTCTAAATTCCTACCCAACTCCATAAATCAAACTTGGCCAAAAAGAAAACAAAACCCACATGTAATGTAATAGAAGAATGAATCTTCTAAAAATAAAAATAAAAAATTCCTATAGTTTACACGGCCTCTAGATATAGAACTCTGTCCCGTTCGATCCAAGCCCTACAATAAGCTCAAACCAGCCCAGCCCATTGCACAACACGCAGTAACAACTGTTTTGTATTGGTGTTGTTTGATACAACTTATTACAAGTTAAAATCTGACAATAAAAAAGAAGAAATCAAAAGCACTCTATCCCTAACTTTCAAATAATCAGTTTTTCTCAGCTAATTTAAGTTATTTCTACCTAAAAGTAGAAGCTGCACCAAACAGTTTAACACAAATTTCCAAATTAAAATACGATATAATCACCCCTATAATCTACACCAAACACTCCCATTGTAATCAATTTGTTTAGTTTTAGTTTCTAGAAAACACTTTTAAGAAAATTCTATTTTTTTATTTTTCATATTTTTTATTTTTAACAATTTTTTTAATATTTTAAGAATTTTTTTTTTAATTTTTAAACACATCTAACATAAATACATTTAAAAAGTATAATATTTGTGAAAAAAATCTTTAAAAAGTTTATTAAATACCAAAAATACAAAAAATAAAAAAACTAAAATTTCAATATATTTTTCATATTTTGGTATATTTATTAATTTTTTAAAATATTTTTCACAACTATTTTATTATTTAGGTCAAAATAGGATTCATTTAAAAAAATAAAAAAAACATTTCTTAAAACTTTCAAAAATATTTATTAAAAATAAAAAAATACAAAAAATAAAAAACTTTTAATTTTTTAAAAACTGAAACCATGAGATCTAAATAGAGTTATTGGAGGATAGATATTTAGGGCTAATATAGTAACACCACGAAAGGTCAATTAAATCATTGAGATCTAAATCGAGCTATTGGAGCATAGATATATAGGACTAATATCAAACCCAGAAAATTGAATATCTGTATCGATTCTACAACCCTTGTTCTCAGGCGAACAGAGTCGAATCGAACAAGACTGTTGCTGAGTTACGCAATCTGCCACTGGTTCGTCTTCTCTCTCTCTCTCTCTCTCTTGCCGTCTATAGATCTATGAAGAACACAGTGTTCACTTCATGTTTCTCTTCAACACAATAACGTTATCACGTTTGTTCTTCGCTTTGTTTATAGAGTTTGTGGAATTGTGTTTAGTTCTCTGATCTGGCTTTCAATTTTCAATTTTCTTTCCCAAAGGAATAGGTGGTTGGGTTTGAATCTATGGCGTTCAACTGTTGCTGTGATTGGTCGTCTAAGTTGCCCGATGAGTTGACGGTGGAGATACTATGTAGATTGCCAGAAAAGCCTCTGATTCAATTCAAGTCCGTGTCGAAAGCTTGGTACTTATTGATTTCTGATGTTTGCGTTCCCAGAATCTCTTCATCCGCACCTCTCTCCGGATTTCTCTTCAGGTTGATTCCCCTTCTTCCATTCTCCGATTTCCTTATGGAATATGTTCCATCAGATTGTCGGAGAACCCTGCTGGACAGAGGACGATTTGTGGAGTCGTATTCGAAGTTATTACCCTTTCAACCTACTGCCAGGGACGTTCTCGACTGCTGCAACGGTTTGCTCTTAATTCTTCACCGCTCCTCTGTTCCTCCCTCTGTTCCTTCACAGTATTATGTGTGTAACCCTGCCACAAAACAATGTGTGGCTATTCCCGTGAACCCTAATCATCTAGATCCCATATATGCTGTACTTGCTTTTAATCCTGTTGAGTCCCCACCGAATAATACTAATAATAATAATTATAAAATAGTTCGGTTAGCTAGCTCTGCCAGCACTGCCTCTGTAACTCATCCGCCAGAGCTGGATGTTTTCTCCTCCGTTACTGGCAAGTGGGTCAACCATCCGGTTCCACTCCAGCCTGAACCTGAGCTTTATGGTTTCAAGTGGCTTTACAAGTCTGTTTATTTGGATGGGGTGTTGTACATGTTATCTTACAGTAGATACCTCTTGTGTTTTGATCTCAATGCCGATAATTTGAATCCCCGAGCTGTGAAGCTCCCGAACAAGGGCAAGGCTCTTGGTGTTGGATTCATTGGGATGTCCAAAGATTGCTTCTATTACTCTAATCATGTTGAAAATGCAATCCTTGTTTGGTCACTTGACCATGACCGGTCACTTGACCATGACCATCATTGGATTTTGAAGCATAGCATCTGCATTGATGACTTGGTTCGGTTTCATCACGGCAGAATTTTAGACCGCTATCGCCTTTCTCCGCTGCTCGTGCCTTGTGCTTTACATCCAACTTCAGAAGCTATCCTCATTGCTATTCCCAGATTGATATTCAGCTATAATCTGAAAACCAATCAGTTCAATGTATTTTACGTACTGCAAGAAAACAGGAATTTGATTGATGATGGATGTTTCTTCTTTCCGTACTCACGCTGCTTGGTTGTTTTGAATGATTTTAGGCAGGTAAAAATTTTGGACCTATCCATTTTGTAACCAGTTTACTTCATGTATATATATATATATATATTTGTGTACATATTCAACCATGCGTATCTTTAATATTTGCTAATAATTCATTGAGTTGCTTACTCTGTGAGGACCTTTTTAGTATTTCTTGTTTTGATGTCCCCTTTGTTTAACGTGCATTCATTAGGATATTAGTATTTTCTAATAACACTTTTAAAGGCTGGAAGGTTCCGATATGACTTGAATTTGGGAGGTTAGTTTTCTTGAAAGTTCTTTCTTTTGTATTTGTAGACCTGAAGTGGTGTAGCTGGTTTTGAATGCCAGGGAGGAGAGAAAAGGGGTTTGGGCGAGATTATTTACCTACTTCAGTATCATTATGGGCATTTCTTTAAGATTTTGCTTGTCAATTTCTTTCATCTTCGCTGTTCTACCTCAAATGATAAAATGGTTCTAGCATTTATCTGTTGCATCTTCAATGCTGCAATGAGAGAAGTAGACGAATTTATTGTTTTTGCAGGTAAAAATAGATTGCTAATTATCAGAAGTTATTGTGTATTTATGACTTATTTGAAGAAACATCGGACTACAAATTGGTGAATAGTTTCGATCTACGAGGTTTGATTTAACTGTTTGTAGAACTTTGTTTCTAGACTTGGATGTTTATTTCAATTCTATCTGTCACTTCCCTCACAGGTATGGTGTCCCAAAATTTGAAAAATAAAAGCTAGAATTTCAATGGTTACTTGTTCTCTGTTCAATGATGATGATTTTATTTATTGTGTAGATCTAACATTTGGCCCTACTTCATGATCCCAAAAACAAAACAAAAACAAAGAGCGAGAGGAAAGACATTTTTGAATTTTCCAAATGCTATCTACTTGTATGAATTTTGCATTATGCTTTTTGATTTCTACCACTGGAAGTCTCTATGTCATGACCCCATTCCGTCCCTTGTAGAATGGTGCCGTGATGGCCAGTAATCCGAGATTACCAAAGGCCAACTTTCAAAATTCACACACAATCAGAGTATTACATATGGGGCTAACATGTGCGGAAGTAATATATATAAATCTAATTAGTCCATATGAGCTGTGCATAAGTCAAATGAAATGGCATACATCCTTACATAGCTTTATAACTTGAATATAAGCAAAATAAAATACATATTACATCTTGATTGAAAGGCTGCTCAAGCTGACATAAACAAAATACATGAAATACAAGGTCGAGAGGCATAATCTTCAAGATTGCCGACATAACATGCATTCAAAACATCTTGCAAAACACACATCTCGGCATCACCGCCTTTATGCTAAACACCTACATATATACATAGGGAGGGTGAGCTTGGATACTCAGTGAATGGTATAAGTAATAAAAGGATTAAATGAATGATTTCCAAGGTCCTTGTCAAAACAATACATATATCATAGCTTGTTCAAAACATGGGATGAATCAAGTTCATCAATCAAATCTTGGTCTTTCAAATCTTGCTTGGGATGTTAAATAACATCTACATAATACATGGGGTAATGACATTCCTGACAAAACAAACCCACCCGTTCATAGACCGTCAGTGGCCAAACAAGACAAAACAAGGGAATAATTGACCCGGAATCGATTAGACAAATCCACCCGTTCATAGACTGTCGGTTGGGCCATCCGTTCATAGACCGTCGATGACAGAGATCTCTCAAACATGATGCTACATGGGCTTAGAGTCCCCTAGCATGGGAGGACTTTCCAAGAATGTCATCAAAACAAGGTAATACTTGATATACAAAATAGGGATAATCATTCATGCTTGATCAAATACTTTTCAAAACAAAGCAAAGCAAAGCTTATCAAAACATGATAACATAGCTTTATTAAAAATACCACTCACATAGTTCTTGGGACGTCGGGATCAAGGCAAAGGTCCAAGTTCTACGAACACATGGCAAAGTCTATTGAATGCACCCTTAAAAACAAGCTTCACATGAATGCAAATGATCTAGGGAAAACATGCTGGAAAACATCTAGGGAAAACATGCTGGAAACATCTAGGGAAAACATGCTGGGTATCAACCAGGTCTTGGAATGGATGCACAGAGATGATCTAGGCTAAAACGACCTAGCTGGGTGAACTCAGGAGGTCTTGGCCGAGGTCTCACACCTCTTGGCCGAGGTGTGGTTACCTAGGCTTCGGTGTGCAGCTGTCTGCCGAGGTGTTACAAGGTGCCGGCAAGGGTGTACCATGGTCAGCCTAGGTATGCAGTGGTTAGCCTAGGTGTGCATGCAAGATAAACTAACGTGCAAGTGATCATGCAAGGTAGGGCAAGGTGTGTGATCTAGGCAAGAGTGGTGTCGGTGATCACACCTAGGGAAATGAAGCCTGGAATTCTGGGTTTCCTCCTTGAAGAACATGAAGAACATGAGCATGAAGAACATGAAGAACATGAATGCTAAAATCATAACTTGTTATTACAAGATCTGAGATTTCATGCTATGTGTTCGAAAACATGGACCTTGGTACCCATACTTGAAGATCATATGAAAACAAACACGAAAACATGCATATTGATACAAACTTTCGGATTAAAACATGGTTTTTCCTCAAGAACACATGAATATCACTTTTTCTTTCTAAAACCGAACTTCAAAGCAATGCATGATTCATGAAACATTCTAGATCATGCAATGCGATTAGATCAACATAAAGAATAAGAAGAGTAGATCACGAATCTAACCTTAAAACACGGATCTAACGGTTCGATCTCTAGGGATCAAGCTTGGAAATCTACCTCTCTTTAGAATTCCTCTTCCTCTTCCTAGAGCTTCTCTCTCTTCTAAGACAAGGATATAGCAAATGATACATTTCTAGGTCTGCCGGCTGACTTAACACTCAGTTGGGACACGTGGCAACGGTTGGTTGGTTCTTCTAAAAAAGGTGGCTGAGTGAAAAGACAAGACTATGACAAAGTGTACTCAACAAGCTAGATGGCAAGGGCACTCTGGCAAGTAATGATCTCGGCTAAGGACATAGGCTTCGGCAAGTAAGGTTCCAATGACCTCGGCTAGGAGGGATAACACTTGACCTAGCTGTGCCACACCTCGGCCTAGATGTTCCACACCTCGGTCTAGGTCATTCCAGTCCCGGAACAAGATCACTAGGTGCAAGGATCAAGGATCTAGGACGCCTAGATGATAACATCTCGGCCTAGATGATGCACATTTCGGCCTAGGTGATGCACACCTCGGCCTAGATTATGACATCTCGGCCAATATGCCTAGGTGATGGTGGAGGTCACCAAAGTGGTTCTAAGATGGTCCTAGGTGTTGGCATGACCTAGGCTTGGCATGACCTAAGCTTGGCATGACTTAGGCTTGACGTGACCTAGGCTTGACGTGACCTAGGCTTGGCATAGCAGGGAAGGAACAAAGCATGCAAGCAACACTTAGGCAAAACAAGACAAGATTTATGAATGCAAACTTAACAAGACAAAGTTATGTTGATGCACATGAACATGACCAAGACATGAATATGGGTTGTTACATCCTTTCCCCCTTAAAGAAGTTTAGTCCTCCAAACTTAGCTTACCATGTCCTCAAAACAATTCCGAGCGTCGGGTTCTCATCTTTTCTTATCATCTCTAGCCTTTACCTTGGGACAATCCTTAATACGATGACCCATCTCACCGCATTCAAAACATGCTCCAGATGCCCGATGACAAACTCCAAAATGTCGCCTCCCGCAACTTGTACATGTCGGCCTGGCGCCACCTTCCTGATTCGTGTTATTGGAACTGTCCACATTCGTCTTCTTCTCGGCATCATGTTGGGCTTGGCGATTGTCATAGGTCTGCCTCTTTTTCTGATTCTCTCCCAAACTCTGACTTCTGTTCAAGTTGGCTTCTGCAAGGATGGCTTTATCTAACACTCCAGCATACGTCGGCATGTTAAGCAAATTAACCCGGTCTTGAATTGATCCACGAAGCCCACTTTCAAACTTTCTAGCCTTCCTATATTCATCGTTGACCATGTGAGGTGCATACCTTGCCAACTCGGTGAAAGCACGATCATATTCAGCCACTGTTTTGCTACCCTGTGACAACATCTGGAATTCTGTGGTCTTGTGATCTCGGACACTGAGGGGAAAGTGTTTGTCATAAAACAACTCCAAAAATCTGGCCCAAGTCAAGTCTAGATTACCTTCTCGGATCATCATCCACCACCTACGAGCGTCGTCTTCCAATGTGAATGCTGCCAATGACACCTTCTGGGCGTCGGTGGTGGGAAAAACCTCAAACAACTTCTCCATCTCAAGAACCCATGCTTCTTCTTTCATCGGCTCTATACCTCCACAGAACTTCGGCGGTTTCATCTTTTTGAATTCTTTGATCAAGGTCAAGGTGTCGTCTCCATACAAAGCTGGCTGCGGCTGCACTGCATAGCAAATATGTGATTGTTAGGGAAGTGTATAATCTTCATTCATGCTTTGATTATTGTTATTTCTGGCTTAAATGATAAAATGGTTCTAGCATTTATCTGTTGCATCTTCAATGCTGCAATGAGAGAAGTAGACGAATTTATTGTTTTTGCAGGTAAAAATAGATTGCTAATTATCAGAAGTTATTGTGTATTTATGACTTATTTGAAGAAACATCGGACTACAAATTGGTGAATAGTTTCGATCTACTAGGTTTGATTTAACTGTTTGTAGAACTTTGTTTCTAGACTTGGATGTTTATTTCAGTTCTATCTGTCACTTCCCTCACAGGTATGGCGTCCCAAAATTTGAAAAATAAAAGATAGAATTTCAATGGTTACTTGTTCTTTGTTCAATGATGATGATTTTATTTATTGTGTAGATCTAACATTTGGCCCTACTTCATGATCCCAAAAACAAAACAAAAACAAAGAGCGAGAGGAAAGACATTTTTGAATTTTCCAAATGCTATCTACTTGTATGAATTTTGCATTATGCTTTTTGTTTTCTACCACTGGAAGTCTCTATGTCACGACCCCATTCCGTCCCTAGTAGAATGGTGCCGTGATGGCCAGTAATCCGAGATTACCAAAGGCCAACTTTCAAAATTCACACACAATCAGAGTATTACATATGGGGCTAACATGTGCGGAAGCAATATATATAAATCTAATTAGTCCATATGAGCTGTGCATAAGTCAAATGAAATGGCATACATCCTTCCATAGCTTTATAACTTGAATATAAGCAAAATAAAATACATATTACATCTTGATTGAAAGGCTGCTCAAGCCGACATAAACAAAATACATGAAATACAAGGTCGAGAGACATAATCTTCAAGATTGCCGACATAAATATTGTCGACATAACATGCATCCAAAACATCTTGCAAAACACACATCTCGGCATCACCGCTTTCATGCTAAACACCTACATATATACATAGGGAGGGTGAGCTTGTATACTCAGTGAATGGTATAAGTAATAAAGGGGTTAAATGAATGATTTCCAAGGTCCTTGTCAAAACAATACATATATCATAGTTTGTTCAAAACATGGGATGAATCAAGTTCATCAATCAAATCTTGGTCTTGCAAATCTTTCTTGGGATGTTAAATAACATCTACATAATACATGGGGTGATGACATTCCTGACAAAACAAACCCACCCGTTCATAGACCGTCAGTGGCCAAACAAGACAAAACAAGGGAATAATCGACCCGGAATCGATTAGACAAATCCACCCGTTCATAGACCGTCGGTGGGGCCATCCGTTCATAGGCCGTCGATGACAGAGATCTCTCAAACATGATGCTACATGGGCTTAGAGTCCCCTAGCATGGGAGGACTTTCCAAGAATGTCATCAAAACAAGGTAATACTTGATATACAAAATATGGATAATCATTCATGCTTGATCAAATACTTTTCAAAACAAAGCAAAGCAAACCTTATCAAAACATGATAACATAGCTTTATTAAAAATACCACTCACATAGTTCTTAGGACGTCGGGATTAAGGCAAAGGTCCAAGTCCTACAAACACATGGCAAAGTCTATTGAATGCACTCTTAAAAACAAGCTTCACATGAATGCAAATGATCTAGGGAAAACATGCTGGAAACATCTAGGGAAAACGTGCTGGAAAACATCTAGGGAAAACATGTTGGAAACATCTAGGGAAAACATGCTGGGTACCAACCAGGTCCTGGAATGGATGCACATAGATGATCTAGGCTAAAACGACCTAGCTGGGTGAACTCAGGAGGTCTTGGCCGAGGTCCCACACCTCTTGGCCGAGGTGTGGTTACCTAGGCTTCAGTATGCAGCTGTCTGCCGAGGTGTTACAAGGTGCCGGCATGGGTGTACCATGGTCGGCCTAGGTGTGCAGTGGTTAGCCTAAAAATTTTCTTTGCATTGCATTACTCAATTGTATTGTATAATCGTAAAATAGGAAGAGAAAATAGTGAAGTAAGGCACAATCCAAGAATAACATAACGTCATGTAAAAGAGAATGCAACCCAACACAGGGATGCCTATTATGAAATACAATTAAACAGATCTAATAGATAAATTTCTCACAGAATGATGTAAAAATAAAATTTTCTTGTGTTTTGACTAAAAATGAAATAATGCTAACCACCACATCAAATTTGTATGAATTTTTTTGTACAGAAAATATGTATGAATAACATTAATCATTGGATTGTAGTAAACTAGTGTAGAAAAAATGAAGCAAGGCACACAACCCCAAGAATAACATAAGGTACAGTAAAAGAGAAAACAACCCAACATGGTGATTAAAATTATGCCAAAAAAAAGGTGAAGATGATGATGATGAGAATTATGAAAATAAAGAGATTGTAATGGAGGAGTTACACTGCCAGGCAATCTGAAAATTGGTAGCCCATGACACGGTAACGTGAGATAGAAAAAAGATGAGCCACCAACTGATCAACTTGTTCGCTTGCTTCGGAGTTTTTCACTTTAGACATGTTGAATTTGGAGCAACAAATAAGAATCTGGTCATCAACATAGTCATTATTAGAATCGCAAGCTCTCAAAGCCCAAAGCACAGCTAACTTATTGTTTCCCAGTGAGACCAAAGATATGCGAGATTGGGGTATCCACTCGCAATCATCTTCTTCATCCTTGTTCACTATCACTGTCACGACCCCAAACCGCCCCTAGTAGTTTGGAGCCGTGATGGCCAGTAATCCGTAATTACCGAAGGCCAACTTACAAAATTCACACACAATCAGAGTATTTATATAGGGGGCTCACAAATGCGGAAGAAGTAAATCAAAATACAAGTCGTCCATAAGAGCTGTGCATAAGTCAAACTATGACCGGGCGAGCGGGGGTGCTCACGAAGTGACCTTCCCCAATCGTACCCAAGTTCCCGAGCCGAGGCAACTTTGGTGATGACGGACACGTGGCCTTAGGCACAAGTTACGGTGTTTCCTAAATTTCCTAAAATAAAATATTTAGGTGGCGACTCTGTATCTGGCAAAGCAGTCCATGTTTGGCACTACTTTTTCAAAAATATGTTTTCCTAAAACGATTTGCCGGATTTGGACTCTTTGGTTCAGATTAAGAACCGTGACTGCGAAAGTCGAGTCCGAGCTGTAGCGAGGCCCCTCCCCGCGGCCCTGTTACAGGATCAAGCTTGGAAATCTACCTCTCTCTAGAATTCCTCTTCCTCTTCCTAGAGCTTCTCTCTCTTCTAAGACAAGGATATAGCAAATGATACATTTCTAGGTCTGCCGGCTGACTTAACACTCAGCTGGGACACGTGGCAACGGTTGGTTGGTTCTTCTAAAAAATGTGGCTGAGTGAAAAGACAAGACTATGACAAAGTGTACTCAACAAGCTAGATGACAAGGGCACTCCGGCAAGTAATGATCTTGGCTAAGGACATGGGCTTCGGCAAGTAAGGTTCCAATGACCTCGGCTAGGAGGGATAACACTTGACCCAGCTGTGCCACACCTCGGCCTAGATGTGCCACACCTCGGTCTAGGTCATTCCAGTCCCGGAACAAGATCACTAGGTGCAAGGATCAAGGATCTAGGACGCCTAGATGATAACATCTCGGCCTAGATGATGCACATCTCGGCCTAGGTGATGCACACCTCAGCCTAGATTATGACATCTCGGCCAATATGCCTAGGTGATGGTGGAGGTCACCAAAGTGGTTCTAAGATGGTCCTAGGTGTTGGCATGACCTAGGCTTAACATGACCTAGGCTTGGCATGACTTAGGCTTGACATGACCTAGGCTTGGCATAGCAGGGAAGGAACAAAGCATGCAAGCAACACTTAGGCAAAACAAGACAAGATTCATGAATGCAAACTTAACAAGACAAAGTTATGCAGATGCACATGAACATGACCAAGACATGAATATGGGTTGTTACACTCTACTTGTTTAGCTTTTTGTAATGCCTTCTCTCTCTTATCTATTTATTTTTTTAATAATAATTATTGTTCTTCTTATTTACAGATGAATGATATGCCAAGGAACAAGGGTTTAGAGGTTGGAGTTACCATCTGATGGTCCAGATCAGATCCTCGTTCATACTGGATTTGCCAAAACTAGTTTAATGGTGGTGCTACTTGGATATGACTATATAAATTATCCGGCAGGCTCCAATATTTATATGCGTGCTCAAATGTACGATTTTGTCCTTAGTGTTATTTAACAATATATATTGTGACCTTTATTTTAATTCCTGCTTTTTTCTTTTAAGGAGAATATTATCGTATCTCTCATTAGAGGTGTAGAACATTCAATTGCCTTCCCTGCGATTCAGTAGTCCTCTTCTTTGATAGCTCTTAGGCCAGTGAATTTCACTCCTTCAGTTCCTACTTTCATTTCTATTTTTTTCGTAGAGTAATGCTATAAACATTAAGACATATTACCATTTTTTTTCTCCCACTGTTTTGGCTTCACGTGTCATAGTATTAAAGTGGTGGGTTAAAGATTTATTAGTTTGTTTAACACTTTTTTTCATGAATTTTGTGAAAACTGCTGTGTAACCTGTATCCAGTCAAATCTCCTCCCAATCTTCTTCTTTATCTATTAACTTTGAAAATTCATTGCCATGCTTTGAATGTTGTTTTTGCAAGGAGAATAAAGGCTGAGAAGGATGATTTCATCTATGAAAGTAACTTTCTCATCTATGAAGCAACTCTCGCTGGGCTTGATCACAGGAAGAATTATATTATGAGAAAAGCTACCATGTGGATTAAAAAAAGATGCATAAAATATAGTTTTTTGTCATCACAAAAAATATAATTGCAACTTGAGCATGTTCAACTCGAGGGAGAATTAAACAAAACGCACATTATATTTAAACTTTTTAAAATGGTTAAGTTTGTTTTTGTTTTTTGAACAACAATAAATAAATAAATAAAACAATAAAGAAAAAAAGAAAATTATTGATAAAATGATAATGTTGATAATTCTAAAAAGGCAACGAGTAGCAAATGTGTTCAAATAATAGGTTTGAGAAAATTTCACCACAATCTTAACATATTTTTTTATATATCTCAATCATAATTATTTTTATGTAGTAAAAAGTATATATAAATATATATTTAGAGAAAGATCTTCAAACAAATATGTTTTGAAAAGTTAGTTAAAAGTTGGTTTTTTAACTTTTTTGTCTTTTAGTGGGTAAAAAATGTGAGAGTGATGTGACTCAAAATTGATTAAAAGTCAAAAGCTAACTTTTAACCAGCTTTCCAAATGAAAGTTATACTTGGTTTATAGATTTGTGTAGTGATTTAAAAAAGAAAAGAAAAAAGATGAGTAAAATATGAATAAAATAGAATGGGTGTGTTTGGTTTAGTTTTGTGAGATAAATTTTCAAAAAAAAATTTGGGGAAAGAATTTATAAAGAGTTAGAAATTTTTTTGGTTTGTTTGATTGTATATTTTGATAGGGGTGAGCATAGTCCGGATTGGTCCAGATTGAGGTAAAAGCAGTACCAATCCGTTATATACAGTTTTTGAAAAATTGAAACTAGTCCAATCCGTTTAAATCGTAGAACCAATCTGAACCAATCTGTTTAAACACGGATTGAATTGGTTTAAAACAACGGATTCATATAATTAAATAACAAAAAGAAAATATAAAATATTATAATTTCATGAAAACATAAACATAATTGAACCCAAATCACTTTTTTTTTTTTTTTCTACCAACAAACACTATTCTTTTCCACCAAATGCTACAGCACTTTACTCTAAAAATAAAATAATTAAAACCCACAAAACAATCCACACTATACAGTTTCTGAAAAATTGAAACTAGTCCAATCCGTTTAAATCGTAGAACTAATCTGAACCAATCTGTTTAAACACGGATTGAATCGGTTTAGAACAACGGATTCATATAATTAAATAACAAAAAGAAAATATAAAATATTATAATTTCATGAAAACATAAACATAATTGAACCCAAATCACTTTTTTTTTTTTTTTCTACCAACAAACACTATTCTTTTCCACCAAATGCTACAGCACTTTACTCTAAAAATAAAATAATTAAAACCCACAAAACAATCCACACTAACCAAAACAAATTCCCAAGTGCTGCACTCCCAAAACAACTTCACCTAATGCTGCACTCTTCATTTCCGAGACAACACCAACACACCTCCTGTGGCCGAAAGCTCGATGACTGGAAAACTCCTATTATGGAAAACTATGGGAATTCAAGTTTGGGAAACAACCTAATGAACAACCTGATACATGGCAGAGCATCATAGTTCCGAAGAAGAAGAAAAAAAAAAAAAAAAAAAAAAAAACCCCAGCAAAACACTAAAAATCTAAAAGACAAAAAATGGGAAATTGTCACGACTCAAACCCGCCCCTACAGGTTTAGCATCATAACCGGCTAGTAATCCTTGGATTACCGAAAGCCTCTGAATTGAATAGCAAAATATAAGGGGCTAGCAGAAGCAAATATAGAATATACATAGTCCATTGAACTATGTAGACATACATGAGGCAGTTAATATAGAACTTTATATATATCATATACACATATATGGCGTCATATCCACATAAGTTACACAATACCGTACAAGTACTATCATAAGGAACTTAGTCCAGTGTACGGATAAACAAAAACAAAACGAAACATAAACATTCTTAAAATGATTCACAAAACTTGACTTTCTTTAAACGGGAACCTCCCCAGAAGGCACGGTGGCTGACTGACCCAAAACTCCCCAGGCAGCAGCTTAGGCCTTGTCACATGCCCTCACCTACATACATAATATAAATAGTGAGCGGAAGCTCTGTGAATAATAATAGAGTAAAGGGGTGCAGCCCACGTCGGCGGATTTTGTTCCTTGGTGACCGATCTTTCGAGTTTGAGGAGGTTTCAGTGGAAGCGTCTAGATGTCGCGGTGTGTCGATTGTGGAAAGGGGTGTGGGGCTTCGTCGGGCTATGGTGGTGTATGGTCATGATGTGCGTTGGATGGTGGCGCGAATGCGGGTTGAATCGCAGGACCCAGGTAACTTACAGTTTTTAGGTCGACACACTGGGGGTAGTAGGACTGTGGCTGTTTGAGTTCATAGCGAAGAAAGTGGTGGTTCGTCCTTTCAAATAGTGGTGACGACAGGAAAGAAAATAGATCAAGTCTTCATTCCCATGTCCGATTATGGGGATGGGTGGGAAGAAGTGGCCTTGGTTCTTGAAGGTTTTGGGCTGCATTTTGGTGGTCCAGTGCAGGGTACGGAAGGGGCCAGACCTTGTCCATCGCTATCCATCATGGACGGAGTGACTGACGCGGTTAAGTCAGTACGGAGTGCAACGGAGGTGTAATGGTTCCGTATGTTGGATAGGTCGCTTGTTGGTACAGTGGGAGGGATGGATGGCAAGGGGATGAGCTTTGCTGCAATGTCTGATTGGGTACAACGTTGGTGGAAGACATCGGGAAAGGTTGAGGTGCGTCCGTTAGGTAGCTAGGCCTTTCTCTTTGTATTGTCCAGCAGACATGAGGCAGAGGTGTTGCTGCAACGGCGGTGGATTGCTGATGGGAGGGATCTCCAGTTGGAATGGTGGTCGCCTTTAGCTCTTTGTACGTCGAAAGCTACAACCTTGACGGCAAAGACTGTTTGGATTCGGGTGATGGGAGTGCCCATCCACCTTTGAGGGGAAGATGTTTACCGTGCCATTGGTGATTGGTGTGGTGGTTATGTGGAAGCAGATGAATCCTCTGTGGATCTAGGCTATGTTCGGCTGCGTATTAGAAGCTCTCATGGCACACCGACGCGTGTGGTTGTCCGATGGAGTCAGTGGCAGTTTTCTTTACCTGTTTGGGTGGAGGAGGGACCTTCGGTGGAGCTGGCGGTGCTGGAGACGGTGCGCGGTGGAGGAGGGGGAACGGACAAGGATGGCCGAGATTCGTTGCAATCAGCTAGAAGAAAATGGCGAGATCTGGGGGTCAATGAATATCTGCAGAGATTTGGGCCAACTAATGCGGATAAGGGTGGACGTGGTTATTTATTTGAACGTACCCACTTGGGCCTGGATCAGGATTTAACTCGAGGTAATCACAGGGGTTATTTGGGCTTTGCTAAGGTCCAAGCTAAAAGGAATGCGGGTCTGCCCAAACCGAAGTGGGCCAAACATCAAGGGGTTATTAGAAATGGGCCATCTCAAGGTGGTCAAAGGAGGGTTGAGGGGGCTCTTTCTGTGGGAGGCCAAGCAAACCCAGTTTTCAGTTGGGTTTTATCTTTGTTGCAAGCTGGGTGAGGTCCAAGACAAGATGACAGGTCTTCCTTGATGGTACGTGACCCGATGGGTACTACCGAGTGGGTGACTAATGGTCCACTGCCGTCGTCTGCTGTCGATAGGGTGATCACTAGCCCACTGCCATCGTTTGCTGCCGTTGTTGATGTTCCTTCAAATTTACAGGGAGTGGAGCGGTACAATTGGGTTTCTGACGGATCCTCGCCGGTGGTGCGTGCTTTGCTGGGTAATGCCGAGAGGGAGCTGACTTGTCCACCCCCATCGTCTAGTGGTGTTGGTGATGTTCCTTCAATTTTAGAGGGTCTAGAGCGGCATGTTGACGAGGTGACGGAGCAGCGGCCAGTTGGGCATTCGGAATTGCAACTGCAGCAACCTGTAGGTGATGAAAATTGTTGGTCTGATACAATGGATGAATTGGCTATGGTGGTCAGGCCTGAGGCAGGTTTGGATGAGGTGGCTATGGAGTTTGGTGTGAATGAGAAGATTGGCTCGGATGAGGTTGACCTTGACAGTGTTACTGTTGGTTCAGATGTTGATATACCGGTGCCAGAGGAGGTTTCTGCTTGGGTTTTGTCTCGAATTAATGAGGTCAGCCAATTACTGGGACTTTCTTTTGAGGGCCATAAAGAAGAAGTTTTGAGATTATTTTCGGCATTAGAGGAATCTTGGAGTGGTGAGGTTCCTCTTCAGCAAGGGATGGCTTCGGCTAACCATAATGATAGAAATGCTAGGGAATTACGTAGGTTGGAATGTACTGTTAATTATGACCGGTCTCAGGGAGGTGGAATGCGATGTACTAGACGAGGACGTGATCATCCATTGTTGTTATCATGCGGTTAAAATTTTTGTCTTGGAATGTGCGAGGATTGAATGACAAGGGGAAGCGGGTTTTGGTGAAATCTGTCCTTAGAAGTGCACAGGCAGATGTGGTTTGTCTTCAGGAAACAAAGATGGACTATATTGAAGGGGCGGTAGTTCGGGATCTTTGGGGTGGTAGATTTGTGCCCTGGGATTTTCTTCCTGCACTGGGAGCGGCTGGGGGTGTTCTTCTGTGTTGGGATCAACGAGTGGTGGTAAAGGAGGATGTGGAATTGGGTGGTTCTT